TGTCTAACAATAACATTACCATCATATTGCCACTGCACGTTATCTTATCTACCAATTCATCTTGTGTTCCTGTTTTTATTCTTTCTACCTCAATATTTATTTTATTCAAATATACCGGCTGCTATGACGACTTAATTTCCCTTTGGGGATGAATAAAGTTATCTGTCTGTCTATCTATCTGTCTGTCTGTCTGTCTGTCACGTCTTCTCTCGTAATGTCAGAAATATTCAGCGTCTGTGGGCAACCTGGTGACATCATCACATCCCTTTGATCTTGGACATTATCAGTTTAAAGTGAACTTGAAAAAACTAAACTGAAACAAACGGAAGTTGTTCAGTTGATCTTCAGATCGTCAGATCGTCAGACGTGAGATAAGTGTGAGGAGAGAATTCCAACCTGTCACACTAACCTGATCATCGTCACCATAACGTCACCGCTGCCTCAGTTTGACATTTCGTTCAGCGCCATCTTGGTTTTTTGAAACCAGAAATGACCATATTTAGAGGAGCAGGGGGTGGAGCCTGATTGAGAGCTCGAGGACACGCCCACCTGCAACCATTGGACGTTACTTTTATTAAAAAACTGGAACCGCCCTTTTTTAACGATCTGTTTCCTATGAATGTTTCCGTGCTCAGGATCTGGGCGTGTTAGTGATGAGCTTCCTGGAGGGAGATCCGGCGGGAGCGGGGAGCGAAGGAGGCAGGAAGGTAAAACATCTCTGGTGTGCTGCCACCTGGTGGTGAAACTGTGTTTTCATTGAGTAGAGCTGACGGAGTAAGAAGTGAATAACATTAAAAATCTGTTTCAGGTCAATGTGTTCTCTTTATTGTATTAACTGGTTGAATACTCTGCTGTCGTCCTATAGGGGGAGCCTCTGTGCCACTCTACCAGAAGCCTCCTCCATCGTCCCTCATCCAGCTCCTCGAAAACTATCTTCAACCAGACTGGACCACAACACGACGCCCCGCTCAGAACTCCACGCAGGTAAACTCACCTGGACCCGCAGGAAGGAGAATCAGTAGAAGAAGAATAATGTGTGTGTGTGTGTGTGCGTGTGCGTGTGCGTGTACACGCGTTTCAGGCTGAGCTTCAGTGGGATCTTCAGGTCGGCCTCCAGGGACTTGAACCATCAACCCTTGCCCCCCGTCACCATCAAACTGTTCACACGAAACAAGAGAGACAAGGCTAGAGGTACTGTGTGTGTGTGTGTGTGTGTGTGTGTGTGTGTGTGTGTGTGTGTGTGTGTGTGTGTGTGTGTGTGTGTGTGTGTGTGTGAGAGAGGGGCGTGGTTCAGTTCTTGTATGAAAACAGATTCAGTTTCTTCGTTCTCTCTTCTTCATCAGCCTGATGTGATTCTATAGTTGACATTTTACAGTGTAGACAAGGGGGGTGTGGCAAGAGGCCACACACACACACACACACACACACACACACTCAGCAGTGATACTCTTCAGGGCTGAAACTCTCTCAGGACTCTGCTGCTGTGAAAACACTCTGATCGTCCAACAGACTTTGAATTGTCACCTGATCTCCGTCCGATCGACAGGTTGGAATCTCGTGGAGGATTTTTATTTGGAGGAAGTGAAGCAGCGTCTGACGTCGTCTTTCTTTCAGGTTTGTTTTCTTATTTAATTAGAAAAGAAAAGAGACTTTATTATCGAATGAACTTTATTTGAAACTTTTCATCAAAATGACTCACTTCTTGCAGCAGCCAATCAGAACAGGGTTTATAGCTGAGCAGCCACAGGATTGGTGGCTGCTGAGGTTAAATGGATTCTATGTTCACGGGGATATTAGTGGTTTAATCTCACTGATTAATTCAGTTTGACTCAACATTTATTCACATTAGTTTCATCCGGTCAACATATGAATTTAAACAAGTTTAAATAACAATGAACATTGTTCCACAGAATCCTTTTGATCTGGTCTTTGATCTTCTGAAGACTTCTGCTCTTATTTCATTTCAGTTTCTGTGGATTTATAAAAAAGTGATTTCATGGGGATGAAGCGTCTGAGCGGCCTGATGCTGAGGAAATGGAAGGAGAGGGAGCGATGGATTGGAAGGAGGAGGAGTGAACCCTGCGGAGCAGAAGAGAAGGACAAGGAGGAGAGGCAGACAGACAGGACAGACAGACTCATGCTGAGGAGGAAGTCTGAACCCTGCGGACAGACAGAGGACTTTCAAAAGATGGAAGAGAAGACGAGCGAGAGGATGCGGAAGAAAGAAAGAAGGAAGTCTGAATCCAACATGGACGAGGAGGACAGGAAAGACAGGAAGAAGACAGAGATGGGCAGAGGGAAAGGAAGGAGGAAGTCTGCTTCATGGATCATGGCGGAGGACAGAGAAGGAGGACAGATGGACAGAAGGCAGAAGGAGGCAGATAGAGGGACGCTGAGACGGCGGTCAGAACCCTGCAGCATTCTGTACATCCAACTTCTTCCTCTGTCTGGCAGGAAGAGGAGGGAGCTGCTGCAGAGACGCACGGGACGAAGGACGTCCTCCAGCGCGGACAGGGAGGGACAGATGATGGCAGGGACATCAGAACCCATCAGACCTTTGGACAATAGTAAGTCAAAAGATGACAGGGACTTGGGCGGTGGACAGCTCACCTGGTAGAGCTGCCACTCAGCCATAGAGTCTGAGGGTCCGAGACTCGTAGAGTCAAAGAGTCAAAGACTCAGAGACGTTCAGTTGTAGAGACATAGTCTGGGACTCAGTGTTTGTGAAGTCACTGAGCTGCAGTCAGACTGTAATCACAGTTTTATCAGAGAGCAACAAACTGATTCAGTGTTAACAACACACACACACAACCACAACCACACACACACANTGTGTGTGTGTGTGTGTGTGTGTGTGTGTGTGTGTGTGTGTGTGAGAGAGGGGCGTGGTTCAGTTCTTGTATGAAAACAGATTCAGTTTCTTCGTTCTCTCTTCTTCATCAGCCTGATGTGATTCTATAGTTGACATTTTACAGTGTAGACAAGGGGGGTGTGGCAAGAGGCCACACACACACACACACACACACACACACACTCAGCAGTGATACTCTTCAGGGCTGAAACTCTCTCAGGACTCTGCTGCTGTGAAAACACTCTGATCGTCCAACAGACTTTGAATTGTCACCTGATCTCCGTCCGATCGACAGGTTGGAATCTCGTGGAGGATTTTTATTTGGAGGAAGTGAAGCAGCGTCTGACGTCGTCTTTCTTTCAGGTTTGTTTTCTTATTTAATTAGAAAAGAAAAGAGACTTTATTATCGAATGAACTTTATTTGAAACTTTTCATCAAAATGACTCACTTCTTGCAGCAGCCAATCAGAACAGGGTTTATAGCTGAGCAGCCACAGGATTGGTGGCTGCTGAGGTTAAATGGATTCTATGTTCACGGGGATATTAGTGGTTTAATCTCACTGATTAATTCAGTTTGACTCAACATTTATTCACATTAGTTTCATCCGGTCAACATATGAATTTAAACAAGTTTAAATAACAATGAACATTGTTCCACAGAATCCTTTTGATCTGGTCTTTGATCTTCTGAAGACTTCTGCTCTTATTTCATTTCAGTTTCTGTGGATTTATAAAAAAGTGATTTCATGGGGATGAAGCGTCTGAGCGGCCTGATGCTGAGGAAATGGAAGGAGAGGGAGCGATGGATTGGAAGGAGGAGGAGTGAACCCTGCGGAGCAGAAGAGAAGGACAAGGAGGAGAGGCAGACAGACAGGACAGACAGACTCATGCTGAGGAGGAAGTCTGAACCCTGCGGACAGACAGAGGACTTTCAAAAGATGGAAGAGAAGACGAGCGAGAGGATGCGGAAGAAAGAAAGAAGGAAGTCTGAATCCAACATGGACGAGGAGGACAGGAAAGACAGGAAGAAGACAGAGATGGGCAGAGGGAAAGGAAGGAGGAAGTCTGCTTCATGGATCATGGCGGAGGACAGAGAAGGAGGACAGATGGACAGAAGGCAGAAGGAGGCAGATAGAGGGACGCTGAGACGGCGGTCAGAACCCTGCAGCATTCTGTACATCCAACTTCTTCCTCTGTCTGGCAGGAAGAGGAGGGAGCTGCTGCAGAGACGCACGGGACGAAGGACGTCCTCCAGCGCGGACAGGGAGGGACAGATGATGGCAGGGACATCAGAACCCATCAGACCTTTGGACAATAGTAAGTCAAAAGATGACAGGGACTTGGGCGGTGGACAGCTCACCTGGTAGAGCTGCCACTCAGCCATAGAGTCTGAGGGTCCGAGACTCGTAGAGTCAAAGAGTCAAAGACTCAGAGACGTTCAGTTGTAGAGACATAGTCTGGGACTCAGTGTTTGTGAAGTCACTGAGCTGCAGTCAGACTGTAATCACAGTTTTATCAGAGAGCAACAAACTGATTCAGTGTTAACAACACACACACACAACCACAACCACACACACACAGACACACACACACACACACACAACCACAACCACACACACACACACAACCACACACACACACACACAGACCAATCAACAGTTGTTGTGTTCTCGTGGCGTCTCTGTATCTCTGCAGCCTTGACATGACCTCAAACCTCTGATGAATGTGCACAAACACACAACATGACTACACTGTAGTCATGTTGTGTAGTCATGTGTGTGTAGACATGTTGTGTGGTCATGTTGTGTGGACATGTTGTGTAGACATGTTTTGTAGTTGTGTTGTCATGTTGTGTGGTCATGTTGTGTAGTCATGTTGTGTAGTCAGTGTGTGTAGCAGATTGWCGACTCGTTCACAACAACAGGAACATGTGGGTAACGAGGGGTGGAGCCTGTAGAGCAGCAGGAGGCGGGACATGRCGTCTAAACTGTGTAAAGATCAGTGTTGTTGTTTACAGCTCGTCCACACGGCGTCGGCCCTCATCACCAAAACATCTGGAACCTCCTTGTCTTTCCAAGTGGACGTCTTCGTCTTCTACGTGTACGGCTCCTCTTCTTCATCCTGAGACATTTGTGTTCTTCAGTTCAGTCCGTCACGTGTTAGAAACCTCAGAGACACGCCCACTCGCTCACTGAGAAGGTTCCAGATGTTTCACTAGAGGCTGCAGGAGAAGATCCAGAACGTCCAGAGACTCTGACTCAGACATGTGTCCTCATATACAGAACATGTCAGGAACATGTGAGGAACATGTTCTGACTTTAGTTCATGGATGTAAACAGCTTCAGAGACAGAGGGGATAATGAAGTACTCGATATCCTTTATTAAAGTAAAAGTTCCATTATCAGATTTAAATTCTTTATATTTCTGTTCATGCTTTCACCTCCTGAAGATTGATTTAAGACTTAAATCTTTCTCTCCTCCTCCTCTTCTATCCTCTTCCTCTCCTCCTCTCAGCCCACAGCCTCTGCTTCCCCCCTCCTCCTGCTCCACCCCCCCTTCATCAGGAGGAGGTCAGTGTCTTCCATCTGGAGACGTACCTGACGGAGCCGAGACGTCCAGAGACCAGGAGGCTGCGCTCCTTCTCCTCACCGCCTGACACGGGACAGCGCTTCTCCTCCACCTCCTCCTCCTGTTGCAGGCAGCTGGATCCTCCTCTGGCTCCGCCTCTTCCTGTCAGGAGGCTGGTGAGTGAGGAGTCAGGGTCCTCCATGTTTTTTCATCTTGTTGTGTCTGTGTTGTTTACTTGAGCCACGTCAGGGAAGCAACACCTGTGGCCTCTGATTGGTCCCGGTTCAACCACAGGCTGTAAACAAAGATTCTAATGGAGCTAAGAACCGCAGCCATCGTCCGCTGATGATGTCATGTGATCGTGGCGCGGTGGAATCCAGGTGCTCGCAACCAATCCTGAGTCAGTGTCAGCTGTCAATCATGACGTCTCAGCCCGTTTTTATATCATCAAATAACAAATTAACCAAACTTCACATTTCATTCACAATAAGTTCATCAACCATGACGGAACAAACCACAACAAGCATCAAGTCCGTTCACCAGCTTCAAGACAAACTACAAAGTTCTAGAGTTCTAGTTTTTATTTTTGGGAAGAAAAAGTAAGTAAGAACAAGTTAGTTCTTGTCAAGGTTGATTTTCAGGTGGTGTGCAGACGTCCACTGAGAGATGTCCGTCCGACAGGAAGACATTCATGCTGCCACCTGTGTTTCAGAGCCTGAGACATCCAGTTCCTCAAGGGAGGAAATAAGGATCTGGTGGTTCACTGTGTCAAATGCAGCAGAAAGGTCTGAGGATGAGGACAGAGGAGCGAGAGGCTCGAGCAGTGTGAAGTTGCTCAGAGACAGGAGGACAGTCTCAGTTGAGTGTCCTGGTGAAGATGGGAGGACGGTCGATTAAAGGAAGCTCGCTCGAGTGCACACTGATCAGAAACACTTGAACAAACATCAGAGAGATAAGAACGAGCTGAATGACAGAAACATCTTTCAACATTTATTTAACTTGATGTTTGATTTGTGAATGAAATGAGGGAAATTAACAGATTAGATATTTTCTTCCTGTTTTTATGTGGACATGAAATCTTGCAGATGAAACATGATTTAAAACCAAATTTAAGTTCCCACTTTTTAATTGGTTCTAAATCGATGAGAAGAAGTTTCTACATTTTAACAATTAGTTCGATCAAAGACAGGAAATTGGTAAATTAATGGATAAAAGACAAAATCGACTAAATAAAATATCTAGGTAATTATTTCAAATTAAAAATTGATTTACTATGTGAAGTGAGTGTAGTTTATTTATATTAAGTAAGTCATGAATTATGACTATTATTGATCTTCGTGTTTTTAACCTTTAAAAACGATTTAATTCAAATTTGACTTTTGAATCAGTTTCACTTGAGGTTTTATTGTGAAGTGTCTGACCGGAAGCCCCATCTGTTAGCTGCATTAGCTTGTGGTTGCGGCTCCGGTGGTCTCCGCCTTTTTAACGTGGAACCGAGCGGCGGAAAGCGGAGACCGGAGACCGGAGCCCGCAGAGGACGAGCGTTCCCCGGCCCATCGGCTCCCTCCTCCCGGGCAGAGAGTCGACATGAAGCCGTGAGGAGAGCCCTCGGTCCCGGGGACAGCACAGAGCAGCGGCTGGATGTGAAGTAGGTGCTAGCTGTTAGCTAACGTCCTGTCACCCCGAAGCCGCTTCACGAACCTGCACATTTATCACGCAAACCGCTATGACGTCATCACAGTACCACACAGGCGGCTGCCGCTGCGGCGTCTCCATGGCAACACATTCATCTGACGTTCGGCAGCGGTTCCATCACCGAATTATTTAACGACACCGAAAGATCCGTTAAGTGTCTCCTGCTGGAGGCCGCGCCCACTCACCTGAAGTCAGATAATGATGGAAGAACCAGTCACAGTGTGTTCACCATCAATTAATCAATCAATGAATCAATCAATGAGTCAGTTAATCCAGCAATCAATCAGCCAGTTAGTCAATTAATGAGTCAGTTAATCAATTAATGAGTCAGTGAATCAATCAATTAGTCAACTAATCAATCAATTAGTCAACTAATCAATCAATCAGTCAGTTAGTCAATTAATGAGTCAGTTAATCAATCAATTAGTCAACGAATCAATCAATTAGTCAACTAATCAATCAATTAGTCAGTTAATCAATTAATTAGTCAGTTAATCAATCAATTAGTCAACTAATCAATCAGTTAGTCAATGAGTCAATTAATCAATCAATGAGTCAGTTAATAAATTAATGAGTCAGTTAATCATTTAATGAGTCAATTAATCAATCAGTCAGTTAATCAATCAATGAGTCAGTTGGTCAGTGATCTGAGGTTTAAATTCATGTGCCTGAGAATCAGTGCAGTAGAAGATGAAGATGATGAAGATGATGAAGAAGATGAAGAAGATAGTGGCTTGGTGATGATGGTGGATGACTTTTATTGATGTTCGTGTTTTATGTGACTTAAATAAACACATGAACGAAGACTGCTCACACTCTGAAATACTTCCTGTAAATAGTATGAAATGCTCCTTCTGTTGGTTTGAACTAACTAACTAACTTACTAGTTAGTCTGATGATGAAAATGATCCTGAAGAGTTTGACATGTGAATTGTGTTTCACTCTTGTCTCTGACTCACTCAGCGCCAGTGTTGACATGAATCTGTAGGAAATGTTTCCATGATCAGACGTGTTCAGACCGAGCAGACAAGGAGGAACCGACTGACACGTCTCTTGTGTTGTCGGCAGGTGGAGGTCGCAGACGACATGTCGGAGCAGCCGGACCCTGAAGATGCTGGTAACACAAATATTTACTCTGAGGAAACTGTTGAGGACTATTTCAGTGACGGATTCATCACAAACACACACACTGATGGTTTGAGTCTGTAGATTAAGAAAAATCTACAATAACTAGACTTTTATTCTGAAGGGTCATAGAGTTGTGTGCTTCCTTTCTGTCAGACCCCTGCTACAACACATGATATTGTTCCCAGGATGCTTTGCAACTTGAAATCAATACCTGCCAACCATCAGCTGTTCTGTAGTCACAGCAACACGCTTAGAGACAAGCTTGGCCAATCAGTGTTGAAGTCACCATGGCAACCAGCAAACGATCAACACACACACACACACACACACACACACACAGTTGTTAATACTAGGATGATAATCTGAAGGGCGAACAAGCATCACTGCCACTGTTTGGTCTCACTCTCTCTCCCTGGTGTGTGTTTTTGTGTGTCTGTGTTTGTGTGTTTGTGTTTTTGCAGCGTTGGAGTCGGAGCGAGACATTTACATGAGATTCATGAAGTGTCACAGGTGTTATGACATCATCCCGACCAGCTCCAAACTGGTGGTGTTCGACACGACGCTGCAGGTCAGCAACACACACCGACATTGTTATTATTGGTTTTTTCTATTGTTATTATTATTGTTGTTGTTGTTGTTGTTTCAGGTGAAGAAAGCGTTTTTTGCTCTTGTGGCAAACGGAGTGAGAGCTGCTCCACTGTGGGAGAGCAAGAAACAGAGCTTTGTAGGTAAGACTGTGTGTGTGTGTGTGTGTTTCATCGTCTAGCCAGCCTGTTATAATATTCATAAATAGCACATGTTTATATTTAGCAGTAATTACACACACGCACTTTGTGTTTAACTCTTTTTTCCTGTGGACAATCATTGATCTCTCTTTGTTGTTCAGGGATGTTGACGATCACAGACTTTATCAACATCCTGACCAGATACTACAAATCCCCCATGGTAACACACACTGTAACACAAACACACACACTGCAACACACAGATACACTGTAACACACTCACACTCTAACACACACACACTCATGGTGGTGTTCAGGTGTGAGCAGTGTGGTCTGGTGTCTCATCAGGTTCAGATCTACGAGCTGGAGGAACATAAGATCGAGACGTGGAGAGGTGACAGGTCTTTATCTTCTCTTCATGATCAGTGAAATGACAACTGACATGTGAATAATTACACTTATGTTCATGTTGACAGAGCTGTACCTGCAGGAGACCTTCAAACCGCTGGTCCACATCTCACCTGACGCCAGGTATCTAGAGACATGAATAAATTATTACGATCTGAAAATTAACTGAGAGAAGAAAAGGCAGCACTGAACTGTGTGTGTCTGTGTGTGTCTGTGTGTGTCTGTGTGTGTCTGTGTGTCAGTATATTTGACGCAGTGTACTCGCTTATAAAAAATAAAATCCATCGACTTCCTGTCATCGACCCGGTGAGCGGGAACGCTCTCTACATTCTGACACACAAGAGGATCCTCAAGTTCCTGCAGCTGTTTGTGAGTAAACTACACTTCATCAAAGCATCAGTACATCAATCAATACATCAAAACATCTAAAACATCAATCAATACTTCAAAACATCAATCAAAACATCTAAAACATCAATCAATACTTCAAAACATCAATCAAAACATCTAAAACATCAATCAATACTTCAAAACATCAATCAAATCATCTAAAACATCAATCAAAACATTAATCAATATATCAAAACATCTAAAACATCAGTCAATACTTCAAAACATCAATCAAAACATCTAAAACATCAATCAAAACATTAATCAATACATCAAAACATCTAAAACATCAATCAAAACATTAATCAATACTTCAAAACATCTAAAACATCAATCAATACATGAATCAATACGACCTACAGGGTGTGTGTGTGTGTGTGTGTGTAGGTGTGTGAGATGCCCATGCCTGCCTTCATGAATCAGACTCTGGAGGAACTCGGCGTTGGGACGTACGCTAACATTGCCTTCATCCACCCTGACACGCCCCTCATCACTGCGCTGTCTGTCTTCACACACCGCCGCGTCTCCGCCCTGCCAGTCGTGGATCACCATGGTAACCACTGCTCTGTTTCATTTAATGTGGGGGGGTGGAAGTGGCACAGTCAGAGAAACGTGTCGTCTGATCTGTTCACAGGTAAAGTCGTGGACATCTACTCCAAGTTCGACGTGATTGTGAGTACATGGTTTCCAAGGTAACGGTGCAGAGATAACGAGGTGGTCAACTCAACGTGTCTGTGTGTGTGTCTGTGTGTGTGTGTGTGTGTGAGAACAGAACCTGGCAGCAGAGAAAACGTACAACAACCTGGACGTGACAGTGACTCAGGCACTCAGACACAGATCTCAGTACTTTGAAGGAGTCATGAAGTGCAACAAACTGGAAACACTGGAAACGATAGTGGACCGAATCGTGAAGGCTGAGGTAACACACACACACACACACACACAGACGGTTTAAAGATTAATGGTGAATGATTGAAAAGTTAATAGATAGACAACTTCTAACATGCTGTGTGTGTGTGTGTGTGTGTGTGTGTGTGTGTGTGTGTGTGTGTGTGTGTGTTGCAGGTTCACAGGCTGGTTGTTGTTGATGACGAGTCTCGTATCATCGGCATCGTCTCTCTCTCCGACATCCTGCAGGCACTTGTATTAACCCCTGCAGGTACACACACAAACACACACACAAACACACACAAACAAACACACACAAACAAACACACACACAGCTGTGACCTCTGACCTCAGGCCTCTTCTTATTTTGAAGGTTGATGTATTTAAAGTTGAATGTAAACTGTCTGCAGGTCTTGGGAGGAAAGAGTCTCTTCCGTCTCAGCAGACAACTCTGGACTCGTCACAGCCAGAGACAGGACTGGATCAAGACCAGGATCAGCTCCAGGATAAAATCCAGGGCCAGGATCAGGTCCAGGACCAGGATCAGGTCCAGGATAAAATCCAGGACCAGGATCAGGTCCAGGACCAGG